CGCCCAACTCCGCCCAGGACAATCGATCACGTTTCCAGCGGACCCTCACCTGCTTCCGCTCCTCCCCCCACCCGGTCCCATACTTCGGAGTAAATCTCGAGCACCGTCATATTTCACCATAAAAATCTCAGTGCGTGTCGCTAACAGAGAAGGAATCCTTTAGAAAACATACAACCACACTTCCATAACCACACCGAAAATAGCCTGGAAATCGATGCTTTCTTCATTCGTTAAATGTTCTGTGTAAGTGTTTAGATTCCTCCCACTGTCTCAAGTTTTATTATGTTTTTTTTTCATTGTTAGTTTCAGCCAGAGTCCTGAGAAGGCCCGTACTCTGCTGCTGTTTGCAGGCCCACAGACTCTGGGAGGCCACGGGCTTCCTCCCTCCATCTCCCTCTCCTTCTCACCATGTATCTGAGAAACCAGCTCAGCAAGCACCATCTTGGATTGGATTTTCAGTTTAAAGGGGTCTTTCCGTGTCCCTGATCTTCGACCAGGAGAAGGCAAAGCCGTCTCCTGAAACCCAGTTGAAACTCCCAGCTACCGAGGAGGTAAAACACTCAGGGGGTTAGAGACCTGAGGGGTCGTAGATGCCTCTGCCTGGGCGTCTGAGTTGTGACGTGCTTCTTACGCAGGAGACCTCACTGTTAGGCGGAGTAACACACAGGAGAATCCGCTGAGTGAGAACTGGGCTCTTGGAGGTTCCACACGCAACGTCTCCCATACAGGCCACCCGTCAGACCGACAGACAGACGGGCGAGGCCCAGCCGTCCCGGAGAAGGAGGCCGAGGCCTCGGGAGACGGGGAAGAGGGCGAGCGGGGGCGGCCGACGGAGTGTGGGTTTTGCACGGAAAGCACTTTCACGTGCTAGACACACGCTTCGTCATCACAGCGATTATGTAGCAGGACAAAGGTGCTAGCTTTACGGAGGTCCGTGCAGGAAAGTGCTAGAAAGAGGCAAAGGACTTTCCACTGTGTTTACATTTCTGGTTTTATTAGTGGTCTCTAAAGAAGCGGAACAGCTTTCAAAGACGATTTTAAATCTTGAGAGGTTAAATTAAACCCGGAATTAGGACCAAGAGAAAATATTTAAAAATCCAGAGACTCAAATGACAGCAGTATTATAACCAAACGTCCCCCAAATAAAAGAATTCTGTAGGGCCATAGACATGACCCAACATCACCAACGTCGGAGGACGCAAAGTCCTACCGAGGTGGGGAGGACGCCAGACCCCTTCATCGCAGGGTGCCGAGCAGCCGAGACGATGGCTGGCAGCCGGTCAGGGTCCAGCAAAACCCGACGAAGGGAGGGAGGGAGGGGTCGGAGCCCGAAGTGCCAGTGGTGAGCCCGGACCTCAAGGAGGACAGTGGCGTGAGGGGTCCTGACCGGCGCCATCGGAAAAACCCCTCGGAGGCCGCTTCCCACGAGTGCGGACCGACCCACCCCGCGTCGAGGAAGTTGTAAAACGAGTGGACGAGGTCCAGAGGCCGGGCCGACGTGCCGCTGACCGTGGGGAGTGAGCGCCGGACCCACTGTTTGCATTCCTGCCTCTGCCTTTCGGTGAGCAGTTTCCGTTCCGACCAAACCTTCTCCTCTTTAACCCACTCCGATATTTGTGTGTCTGATGACCTAAGAGCCTGTCGCACCAGTCTGGCCTTCAGGGTGCCCTTGACATGCACTCTTCGGGCTGACCTTGACGCACATTAAACACGAAGCGGCCGGAAATCGTGCTTTTCGACAGGAGCCTCTCAGGCGAGAGCTGTGGTTTCCCTTCCCAGTCCGGAAACCGCCTTTCCCGTGGCTCCTCGGGAAAGGAGCCTCCCCACTGCCCACTGCCCACTGCCCGTGTCTCCTGCGGGCCCACCCGGACGTGGACGGACACGGCCCCGCCGCTCACAGAGTGGTCAGTTGCCGGTGTCTGCTCGAGGGTCTGCCCCGGTGAGTTGCCTCTCAGCCCGGGCTGTGGCGCCCTGGGCTGGAGCTCCCGCCCACAGGCAGGGCTGCCTGTGGCCCAGCGGTCTCAGGCCGGCGTGAACCCCGGCTCCCGCGCCTCCTCACTTCCCGTGAGGACACGGGGAGCAGAGGCCAGGGAGCTGGATCCCCCTTGAGGGTCAGCGTGTGTGCGCCCTGTCCCCGTGGGCATGAGCCAGGCTCTGCTTTCTGGGGACAGCACCGCGGGCCAATTGCCACGGTGGGCCGTGCTGCTACTGCTGCTGCTGCTGCTGCAGCTGCTGCAGCAGACCTGGCCGGGCTGGCCCCCTGGGACGTGCGAGGGCATCGGAGGAGCAGGGAGAGACTTCTGCGTAAGAAAGAAGGGGGGAGGGGTCGCCCTTCTCTGGTGTTTGCAGGTCACCTTCTGAAGTGCGGGTGGAAGGCAGCTCCAGGCCGGCCCGTGAGCCGGGCCGGGCCAAGGGAGGCGCGAAACCCACCAGGCCGTTCCGTCTGCTCCGGGCGGGGCGGGGGCGGCCCCACAAGGCATATACTGACGTGAGGCGTCTGTGAACCACAGAGCCCTCGGAGAAGTGGCTGTCCCCGCACAGGGTCCCCTGGAAACACCACGGAGCACGGGGGTGGGGGTGGGGGTGGGGCACGGGCTAAGCCTGAGAGCGTGGTAGCTGACCTTTCGCAACCTCGTGGAGCAGGGAGGTGGAGCCAGATGAGAAGACAGAGAAAACCTGAGAAAAACCACACGCCTTTTACTTCCCCGTTCTGCAGAGGAAGGGAGGGGACAGCCGAACGTTGGAGAGACTCTTCCTGGGGCCTCGCACATTCTTTGCGCTGGTTTCCCAGACGGTCACTTTAAGGGGAGTTTGTCACAAGCAGGTGACTCCCCGGGACAGAAAGAATTTGCTGCTCCCATGAAGCAGTAGGTGGAAGGAAAGTTTTCCATTTAGGTTTTAATTCAAAGAGGATGGGAAAGGGGAGAGGAGCTGATACCTCATCTTCAGCTCTGGTCTCAGAAGGGATTCTTTTCAAGTTCCTAAATCAGTGCGGGGGTGGGGGGAGTCGGGGGAGGGGAGGAACAGGGCCCAGAGCCTGGGCTCCTCTTGTCACGTCTTGCATCCAAGTTGGGAAACCTTCACCCCTGAGATGCAAATCCCTCAATCTGGCCGACTCAGCGGGTGGACCCTTGGGAGCCGGTAATTCCCGACAAGATGTGATAATGCATTTCCCAGCGCGAACTTCAGAGCTTGGGGACTGCGGTCTGGGGGCCAGAGGAGGCAGGGAGTTCCCATTCTCCTCAAGTTTCTGCATAACAAAGGCAGATCCTCCCTCCCGAACTCAGTGCAAATGAGAGACCCCAGAAGGGCCACTCCCACTCCCCTCCCCCCGGCCACATACCCCTTCTTTTCTCTTTGCACCGGCAGGTCAGGAGGTTAATGAAAATGCACTCTGAAATTATCAAGACCATGAGCCAGGCGTGAACATTAGATTTCCACTCAAGTTGGAATATTCTGTCTGGGCATTAAGAAAACCCCACTGGCTCTAAGGTCTCACGGTTCTGTCCAGTGGGCCGGATGGGTCTGAGGTGCTCCGAGGAGCCGAGAGCTGCTCGCCACCCACCTGGGGAGCAGAACCGGGAATGCGGCCCCACCCCCCAAGGAGGCTGGCGCGGGAGCCCGCTGGGCCGTCAGCGGGGAGCGCCAGGATGCCGCTGCGCCGGGACCACACAGGGCTGGGGTCGGAACTGGTCATCGTCTTTGATGTGACTTTTCTTTTTGCACCTTTTCCTTCTCTCTCCTCTTCTGCCCATCTGTTTTTTTAGTTTTCTTTCTCTCTTTGTCTTTTAGGGAATATTCTCATCCTTAAGGACGGACCTGTACGTACACAGTGCTTGCTCTCGAGTCCCTCAAACATAATTGCCTCATTTCCTTCGGGTACCGGGGCCATCAAAGGAAACAGTGCCCAGCCCCAAAGGCTGAGAGAGCCGCTGCGACAGCAGACGCTCTGACGGCAGGACACGCCTCACGCCGACGTCCCCTCGCTCGCTCACTCGGGGGGACCGGCTCTAATGAAGCAGGGGACAAACCCAGGGGAAAAGGCACTTGCTTTTTTTGGTCTTCTAAGGTTTCACGATGGCCTCAAAGGAAATGTGAGCGCATCGTCTGTTCTGACCCAAGGGCAGTGGAGCCGGGTGTGAAGACTTAAGCAGGCACCTCGAGTGTAAACAGAAATCTGGGGCTCCCCAGCGCTGGAGCCAAAAGCAGTCAGTCTGAAAACACCAGTTCCACTCAACGTTTATTTCCATTGGGAGACAGGGGACCTCAGGAATGGACCGCGGACAGCACCGGCTCTCTGGCCTGGACGGGTCCCCACGGTCCCCACGGGTCTGTCAACCTCTAGGCACAAACGCAGGACTTTCCCAGAGACAGACAGGGTAGCAGGGCGGTCAATCAGCAGCCGATACTGTGAACGGCAGTGAATACAAGGTCTTGTCGTATAAATTGATTGCCATTACAAAAAGGCACCTGTTTTAGCTAAAAGGCACAAATAACAGGCAGCTTCCATGACCGTAACAAGCAGCACAGTGAGAGACAGGCGGCAGACTGTTTTTCCCGTGTGCTGTTGGCACAGGTGAGCCAAGACACCTGTGGCACCTCACGTGCAGGGAGGGACGGGCACCCAGGGCCACCCCCACCCCCGTGTCCCCGCCGGCCCCCCTCCCCCCCCCCCGAGTGGCTCTCCCAGGCGCAGCACATTCCAGGGTTAGAGGACAGGGTGCTGCTAGACGGGAGGGAGCGTTATCGACAGTTGCGGCGCATTAGGCGTCAGACAGAAACTTGTCAGAAACAGCTGCTGTTGGGCACTGATGGATCGTGTTTTCGCTCTGCCGGCTGAGGCGCCGCAGACAGCCGCGGGTCTGGGGACAGGCCCGTCGCCGCGCGCGCTCACACACAGACACGGGAGTCGTCTAACAGATGGCTCGGGGGCAGTCAGCCGCAGAGCGCACTGTCTCAGAAAGACAACACTCTACACTTAATGAACTCGCAGAGAAGGCGACGCCTGGAAATCGTTTATTTGTCAGGGAGGAGCACGCAGGGCAGAACAAAGCGGGGACCGGGACACTGGTCTTCGGAGGAGGAGCTCCGTGCCGCTGGCCGGCCACACGGAGTGAGAGCAGTCGAGGAGGCCGTGGACAAGAGAGCTTAGGAGTCTTTTTGGCCCGTTCAATTAAAAAAACGCTGACACCAGGGTTTAATGTCTCAAAGGTAATGATTTCGTTAAAATCCGCCCACCAGATGAAACCCCAAAAGCGGGAGCGCAAGGGCACGTCTCCTGGAGGGGACCGGGCACTGCCGCCTCCCGCCGCGGCACGGGGCGAGGCCGTGGGACGGGAGGGCGGCCCGGACCCCAGGAACCGCGGACAGGTGTTTGTTGCTCAGGTGAAGGGGGCGGTTTGCTGTCATTGGGCCACTGAGTATTTTAAGCGGTCAAAAAATCTACAAAATGCCCCAAAGAGTATTTCAACCATAAACTTCAATATCCATAGATTATTCTTGATTTAGAAAAGGTCAAAGGAGCCAAACTCCAGTAAAACTGTACATTGATTTCTATGTAATTTTACCATTTAAATTAAATGAAAAAATTTTTTTTGCTCCAAAGATGGAATCTGGGCCCTGAAATTATTTCCTTGGTGCGGCCGTGCACGTGGAAACCCTGAAAATAGAGGCTGGGCAGGGAAGCCCGCACAGACCCCGCGGTGCCGGGCGGGGGCGCCGACCGGCTCCACCGGCCACAGGGCCTGCGTGCCTGAAGTGCATGCGGGGTCAAGGCCAAACCCTCGCCGGTGTGCACCAGACTTCACTGGGCGGCTATTAAAAATTTTATCTGTTACTGTAAAAATTATTTTTCCTGTTTTGACCAGACACAGGACTTCTAGAAAATGACACCTATGACTTCACACAGGATGATCTTTCCCTTGAAAAACTACTGGCGGCCTCAATGAAATTGTCATCGGCGGTGACGCATCGGCCCGGCCCCCCCCCCCCACAAGCTCTCCCTCGAAGCTGGGCCAACGCCTGTGCCCCTCGAGGGGGCCGGGGACACTCGGTGTCGTGAAGGGGCAGGAGGCAGCTCGTCCTGAAGCCCTCCCAGTCAGTTTGGCGGAACGTTCCTTTCTGCTAAGGAAAGTGACTGCAGTGTCTGGTGCTCCTTTTCCTCCCACGATCTGCAAGGCCAGTATACAAAAAAATGAAAAAAATACAAGAAGATACAAATAAAATACCCCCCCCCAAGAGACCCTGGACACGGTGCACATATTCGGGGGGCCCAGTCACACAGCACCCCGCCCTAAGCCCAGGGAGGTCGGGCCAGGGCTCCGAGTCTCCCCGAGTCCGTCGCCGGGGAGCGGGCTCCTGGGAGCCCCGAGTTCCGTGCGTCTCTGCGCGCGGAAGAGGCGCCCCGACAGCAGGAGGAAGAGACATGCGTGGGAGACAGTGGCGAACAGAGCGTGGGTCCTCTCAGTAGTGTGTGCTTGGCGTGTGCGCGGCACAGCCCCACCGCGCAGGGTGCCCGCCCTGACAGGGACGCGAGTCCGGGACCGCCCGAGGGAGAGAGACCCCGCAGCCCCGACAGTAGCGTCCTGACGCCCAAACGACAGTGAAACGGGAAGCGGACGAGGCCGCGGGCCCCGCCCGCGGCGCCAGGGTTCACATGCGCGCGGCGTCCTGGTCCTTCTCCTCCAACAGGTGGATCAGCTGGCAGAAGCTGTCTTTCAGGGCGTCCACGTTGTCCAGAGAGCAGGGCTGCAGAATCCAGCGTTTCCCACGGGCCAGGGGTTCGAGTTCAAAATATTTTTTGACCTTAAGGGGGACAGAGAAGATAAACGTGTTATTCATCATATCAGAACTTTCCTCCTACCAACATTTTGAGAGTGATAAAATCGGGGGTGGGGCTGGGGGGTTCCCAAGGAGAACATATCTGAACGGGGATGCCCGGAACTTTCCAGAACCCCATCCACAGCTGCAGCTAGAATGTGGGTGACGTGCGGCCCCAGGAGTGTTTCCTTGAGGGGTGAGGGCCCCTGTGAGCCCCACTGCACCCGGACACTCAGAGGCACGGGGACACAGCGCGAGGCTGACGCGGGGCCGGCCCACGCCCGTCGGGGCGGCGGTGGGGAGGCGGCTCTCGCCACGCCGGCCGCTCACTCCCCGACAACCCACAGCAGTGCACGGACTCTATCGATTACCTAAGACCACTGATTTGATGGATCCCATACAGAATAAAAAATGGGATTTCACTCATCCTTCCTCCCTCTTCTTCAATCTCTACTGCGTGTTTCTGAGACCTGGTTTTCAGGAAAGAGGAAGGAAACCAAGTGCATGTACACGTGTGTGTGAACATACATACATACGTACACAATGCTCCCCAGCTTTTCCCGCTCCTCGTCCCGAATTTTCAGGCAGGGACGAATCAAGATCTTGTAACTGGCATGTGGGGTGGCGTGTCCGCTACCTAAAACACCTGCCTGGTTAGTAACCAGTCACTCGTCTTGCTTAGGGTGTCGGCTGGGGTCCAGATAGGTACCCAGGATTACCAATTTTGGACTGTCATGGCTTTCAGAAGTACTGATGCTCTCTCTCAAAGGGCAGAGGTCAGAGTTCATGAATCGACCCCCACGAGCACACACATCACACCAGGGCTTTCACAACATAAAACACAGCCAGAGCCGGCGCCGGAAGGGGCCTGTGCAGACACACCCTGGGCCGACAAATTCCACCAAATGCACGGCGCCGTGGGGGATGACCTCGGTCAGTGCTTGACCTGGACGAGAAAAGTGTCCTGATCTTCACGCCACTCCCAAGTGTGGCTGCATTGTGCCTGCATCATCACGAGCGCCAGGTGAGTGTGAACAGTGGGGACACACCGCTCAGAGTGGCATTAACATGTGTGCATTTCCTATGTGAGCAAGCAGGTATGGATGACACTACATGTTTATGCGAATTCAGGGGCCACAAAGAAGCTGGCAGGGGACAGCTCCACTGTGTCGCACACGCCCCCCCTGGATGTCTGCAAATTCATAATAAACACCACGTTTACTAAAAATAAAAAATAAAGACGAGAACTGAAGGGCCCTCATCCATTTTGGTTCTGAAGTGTAACAGAAATCTCATTTGCAGTCAGAACGTGAGCACACGACTTCAGAACAATTTTTGTCAAAGGTTTTTTTTTTTTACAAATCACAGTAAGAGGATTCTCTCTCTTGGAAAATGTAAACTCCAACCTTTCAGTTTCCTTTCTTCAGGACGCTGAACACAGCTTACTCGCAAGAGAATCTGGAGTGGCTCAGGGAACCAGCTCCGTGGGGGGGCCACGACCAGCTCAGGGAGAGGAGAGTGGGAGGGGGAGGGGGGACGGTGGGGGCGGGCACCAGCTGCTCTGAGGACCCCAAAACCAGAGATGCCCGCTGCTCCCCCAGCAGGAGGCTTCAGGCCCGACTGGGCGGTGGGGAGCCCGCGGCTGCGACGCTGCCTCCCTGCGCAGGGGGCACGGCGGGCCAGCGCCCGTAGGGCGGCCCGGGGAGGACGTGGGGGTGCCCTTGCTGCCTTCTGCCACGCAGAACCTGCAGGGACAGCCCCGAGAGTGTGGCCAGCTCCGGGGGAGAGTGCTGTCTGAGGCGAGCCGGCCCTGGGGGTGAGGCAACAGCAGACACACACAGTCGGCGTCTGTGACAATGCCACCAACTCCGCTTCCTCCAAGCGGCCCTTTCGAGGCCCGCAGACTCAGTCCTGGCAGCACGGTCGCAGCTAATCTGAAAACGAGGTTAGATTTACACAATCACGAAATGTGCTTTGTGACATTTCGCAATTCGGCCCAGACGCACGCACGAGAGTCAGGTTTACAGCTGCCCATTAGTTGGTTTCTAGGCAACCAGACACGCGGCCCATCAGGCAGCCACACTGGGAAGAAGATGAAGACGCGTAGCTCCGGGTGCTGCTCTGGCCGCCCTCGAAACGTGAGGGGGGCGGGCGCGACGGCAGGGTGCTCACCAGGTCCCGGAGCCCGCCGCGTGGAGCTGACCGGCACGGTGGGTGGCCCGGGTGGCAGAGACTCTCCGACCGGTCCCCAAGCAGGCGGGGGTCCCGCCCACCCCGTTCACCCCGCTGGCACCCACAGGATGCCTCGCCTCTCCATGCTGCCCCTTTTAAATCCAGTTTGGCGCTCCGGTGACACTCACACTCACGGCTGGGGAGTGACTGTGCACCCCCCCCAACACCGCTTTCGTCACCCAGAGTTCCAGGTTTCCAGGGACGGGAGTGCGCACGGGGGGAGGGCGAGCCGAGGCCTCACTGCCGGACGGGAGCTCCCCTTGGGGTGCCGCTCCGGTTCAGACACCACACGCTGACCTGGACTGTCTCTGCCTCCCCGTCTCACCCCAGTAAAAGTGACAGACACGCTGAACTTGCCCCCGGTTTTGTTTTGGGGTTTTTTGGGCCCTTCCATGGGCTGAGGTATGATTTTAAAGACAGGTGTTTAAGTTGAACTGACACAAATCATAGGCACACATCTGATGCTATTGTTGAGATCCTGTCGTGCGAGGATCTATTTTTTTTAACGATGGACATAATTTTTTAAAGTTATTTTCTCATCTAGGTACAATTTCTGACTCCAGAGAAAATGAACCGCAGTCTCTGACACAGAGGGTCGGCTGCCCGATGTCACGGTCAGCTGGGGGCTGCTGGGACCAGGAGACGGTGACTGCTCTGTGCTGGCTTCTGGAGCGGCGCCTGGCTGCCTGGCAACCAGCGGTCGCGCGGCTGTCTTCCGGACAGCCGGAGAGGGCGGGCTTGGGCCCACGGCCCCGTGTCTACCCCGGAGGTTGGACAACAAAGCCACGGCAAGTGGCCAACCTCCCGCAGCTGTGTCCTGGGGCCCCCCGCACCCCCACCCGTGGCTGGGGGTGGGCTGCGTCACGGCACGTGCCGTGCACACCCGTGTGGACCGCAGAGCCCTGATTTCACGGGAGACGAGTCAGTGCCCCGGCACAGCCCCTAACGCCTGCGGCAGCTGTCCACCCGGAGAGACGGGCGCGGCCCAGCAGACCCACTGCCGGGGCTGCCGTCCTCACGTTTCCTCGGGCAGAGAAACCCCGCACGCAGCCCGTCCCACGTGCCATGCCTCGAATGGGGTGGTAGGCCGCACAGCCAGAACAGCAGTCTCCATCCTTCCTGGCCTGCCGTGCCGGAGGTTCTAGAAGTCGGGTGAGTAGTGTCTGAGCTGTGACAACAGGCTCAGAAATCCCGCCCAGCGCATTCGACTTGAACGGTGTGCCGCCTGTCCCTCCTCGTTCCGCTACGAGCCGTGTCGGGGGTGCCCAGGCGTGGCCTCGTTCTCCTGCGAACCCTCTGGGGGGCGGCGGTGGGAGCATCCGGAGGATCACCTGGTCTCTGTGTGAGGCCAGAGTGAGGTCTAAGCTCAGGTGTCTGTGAGCGGGGCTCTGACCCATGAGAACAGAGGTCGGACATCCGAACGAGCGAGGGCGGGCGCAGGTCCGTCCCGCACGGCACCGGGCTGTGCGTCCCGGAACACGCCGCCCCCGTGGCCGGTGGACCCAGTGCCGCCGGCACCGCCCAGGCATTGCTGGGACTAAGTGCCCCCTCCCACGCCCAGAGCGCCACCTGGGGGCCCTGCCCTGCCCTCGGCCGGGGCTGTTAGTGCTTTTCCCACATGCCCACCACCGGGTGTCTGCTCAACCCGCCCTCCCTTCCGTCCCCACCTACGCACGGCACGCATGCTCTGAGGACAAACCGGCAGACTCAAGGGCCCCTTCCCGAACTTGGGGGTGGCTGTGGTGGGGTCACAGTTATTACAAGGAGCTCTGGGAACCTGCATCCGGAAAGTTGGCTTCACACAACGTCAGTCATTCAACCACTGGTGCTTCCTGATGAGACAGGTGAGCACACGGAGGCAGCGTGGGTGTTCTTTAAGGACAGGTGAGTGTGGGGAGAGGCAGCATGGGTGGGCTTCAGCAATGGGGACAGGTGAGTGCGGAGGCAGCGTGGGTAGGCTTTAGTGACAGGGACAGGTGAATGCGGAGGCAGGGGAGGGGGGCTTGGACGGGCCACCAGGGCTGAGCTCCGCTGCCCGGATGGGGTTCCTGGGACACAAAACAAGAGAGAGCCGTGTGAGCAGTGCCACCTCGGGGACCGTCCGCCTCCTGTGCACTGTGAGGTCAGAGCCCCCGCAGCCTCCAGCGCCGCCCGGCTCCTGCAGGCTGCACTTGTGACGAGTGGCGGCGCCCTGACGGCCCCGGGGCTGGGGGGCAGGGGAGCTACAGGCTCATGCGAGGAGGCACGTGCTCCCTCAGACGGATTCTGCCCCCCTCGGGGCGATCTGAACAGGAAGTGTCTTGGCTGAAGTCTGTTAAACTTCAGAGACAAAGGCAGCTTCTCCGCCTCTGGAAAAGGAATAGGTCTCATGGGGTCCAGGGGACAGTGACGGATGGCAGAGACCTAGGGATGTCCCGGGGGAGCTGCGGAGTGGGCACGGACCTCGGCCCGCTCAGCGGTCCTGAACCCAGGGAGCACCGCACGTTTTCCTGGTCATTTCTCACACACAGCGAGCCCACGGCACAGTCCGTGTCTGTCCGAGAGCGACAGGGACGGTGCCCTTGTGGGGCAGGTGCACGCTGGTTTTGAACTCCTCAGTGAAAGCAGCGCCTGGGGGGGAATGCACCCCAGGGCTCCAATGAGGGGACGCTTGCTCAGGGGGCCAGGGTGGCCCTGCAGTGTCGCGGGACTTCGCTCCTGCCCGCCTGGCACGGGGGTGGGAGCCGGTGCGTCCGCACCCTGGCTCCTGGTTT